TTAGTGATAATGAAATATTTAATTTTAGAGATATAATAATAGAAATAGGATGTAGGATGAAAATATAAAATTTTAATAATGGTAAAATTGGATAAAGCAAAATTATATAGTGTAACTACTGATTTCGTTTAACAGTATATGTATAGTATAGTAATTATAAATAGATTGTTAAATGAAAAAATAAATATGAACAACAATTTTTGTATTTAAATTTTATTAAGTTATTTAAATGATTAATATATATATGAAAAAATAAAATATATAAAACTTAAGAAATGTTGATTACTAGAGTTGCTTTTTCTTTGAAAGTGAGTCTTACAATTTGAGATAATGAGCCGATTATAAACGCATGGTATGGGCGAGCATGAACTAATTTTTTATGTTAAACTATCCATTTGCACGGGATAATATTTTTACCGTATGATTAAAAACACATATTATATGTACATTTATATGGTTAAGAACATACATGTTATTCGTGCATTCGCATGATTAAACACACATGTTACATGTGCATTCGTATTGTTAAGAACACATGTGATCGGTGCAATCACATGGTTAAAAATACACATGTTATCCATACATTTGCACCGCTAAGAACATACATATTACCCGTATATTTTTGTACTTTTTTTATTAATTTTCATATTCTATAATCTATATATTTTGGTAATTAATAAATACAATAAAAACTTATATTGCTAATTCTTAATATACACGTACATATGGAGAACTTCTTTAATTTTATGATATTATTATTATTTCTTAATGTAAATTGTTTTTAATTTCTTTTATTTCTAGGATATTATTTTTTATTACTTGTATAATTGGTTTATTATTTAGTATTTTTTTTAAAGTATGAAAAATGGGACATTGTAATTATTACTTAGATTTTTTTCGAAATAAATATGGGTTTAACCATTTAGTATGCAAACTTCGAAAATAATATTTTAACATATAGAAATGAAATTTTAGTAATAAATGATACAATTTAATTAAATTTTTAGATTTTTTTAAATAAAACATACATACTAATTTGCAGGTAGTGATTACTATACATTATTTGTCAACTTTAATAGCATCACCGATCTCACCAATAAGCACGACATTAAATGACAATATCTGTTTTTATTCCCTTAGACATGTTTATCAGTTTTATTTCTATCCTAATGATCGAAAGTATTTATTCAAAGTAATTATTATTATTAATTATTAGTTTGCAACTGATCAACAATTAAAATAGTAATAAATGAAATTAAAATGTATGACTGTTAAAAATTAATAGTAATAAATGATAAGCGATCAGCGCTATTTAATTGCATGAACAATTGTAATAATGAAATTAAAATGAGAAAGTTGTAATTAAATGTTTAGATTTTTTTTCAAAATAAAGTAGACAATACTTTTTTGGATTACAACCACTAAAATAATATATTAATTATTTACCACTATTTAGGCCTTAATTTTTCAAAATAAAGGTTGTCTCTAATGTGATATTCATTCACATATGTTAAGAATTACGAGCAATTGTAATAATATAAGGAAATTATATCTGAAAACGAAATATATTTATTTTTGTTATATTTATGTATAAAAATTGAGAAATTTGTTTAATTAGTTAACTAAATATTTCATGAACATTTGACTACACATAAAACTTAAAAATGAAATGTTTGAATTTATAATTATTTTAGTACATGTAGATGTAAAAAGAAAAGAAAAAGAAAAGTTAAAATTTATGACATATTATTATTTTTAATTATATCATACAAAAAATTGTCAAAGATAACCAAAATGCTAAAGAAGAGAGAAGATCATTGAATCCATTGGTTCTACCTTTCTCAATGGACCCAAATGACTACGGTAACACAAGCAACAAATATATATTTTAAACAATAGATTTTTAAAATCATCGAATAAAAAAATAAAATATAAAACCGTAAATAACTAACCATGATTCTTACCTTATTTCAGAGTAGAATATACTTCAGGTGTTTCTGAAACATGCAAAACAAAAAAAATTAAATTAGTGATTCTATGTATAAAAAAGTGTATAAATAAAATAAGAGATTAAGAGAGATAAAACTAAAGTGTATACATGATAGAAGGGAGAACCAAACTACACATGAAAAGAGAAAACGTTAAGAACGAAATAAATATATCAATAATAAAAACAAACAAATAGAATATTGCAACTGAATATATATATATATAATGAGATTAAGTACAAACCACATGTTTTGATTGTTTGATCGTCCTTTAGGAAATACTCTTGCTTATCAGACGCTAACGAAGAACAGATCTAAAAAATAATGAAATCACTAAGAACACTAATAAAAAATAAATAAATCAATGAAAAAGTAAACAAAAAAAAAGATAGTTGGAAGGGAAAGATTGTTGAAGAAAAATGTTAAAGACCAAACATTAATTAACATTTAAATTGTTAAAATATAAAATGTAGAAAAAGTGAGGATGTAGTGTGGGAAGATACATAGTAGTAGTATAGACACTTTAGGAGGGAAAATAAGTGATGAGGAGATAACATGTGGCAAAAATAACTTTATTTTGTTATATAGTATATAGATTAATGGTTTATACCAAAACTTAATTGAAAGAGACTTTTCCCAACTCTAGGATCCATATTCAGATGTCCAACCTTAATGATTATATTTGTAACTTATCTCTAGTTTAAGACATTTAATAACATGGAAAGCATGAAGGATTACTAAGTACTAGTGATTAAACTTTAGGATAAACAAAACAACTTGAGTTCAGAATGAAGATTAAAGGATCGATTATTTTAATGAATGAAGATTTTCATATACTTATGGATAAAGCAATGAATTATACCATAGTACTTGCTCTCTTTAGAAGCAAGCTCAAATAGCAAGACTTCTTTCCTATTTTTTATATATATAATACATTAATTATTTATGTATTTGAAATAAATATGATTTTTTATATAAAATGATCATAAGTGTAATAGTTAAATAAAATATGATATATTGCGAATATAAGTCAGAATAGTGTATGAGTCAACACACTTTCACTATTTTTGGTTCATTACAAAATACATCAATAATTCTAAGGAGATATTATTTAAATAACTCTTATACTATATTATAACAAACAAAAAATAATGAAAATATATTGACTCTTTTATACTATTTAGAGTTGTTTCCACAAGATACATACTTTCTTTAACTTAGTTACATTTATCACCATTTTTTGTTTAAAATATCACATTTGTTTCTCATGCATGGGTCGTCAATATAATATATGTTTATAAATTATGAGAGTTTTTGTATGTATTAAAAATAAAAAATGATTTATATAATGTCACTAAAACTCAAAAGATTTCAGTGTAATTTACTCTAATTAATTATTTAAATGTTGATTTATGATTTAAACCTAATTAATGACAAGATGATAATGAAAGATTGACAAAGATGGGTGTTGTTTATCCATAACAATTATAGAAAGTACATAACTACAATGGTGACACTCCAGAATTATTAAGTCATCGTGATTTTTTTAAAATAGAAATCATAAAAAAATTGGAACTATAAAACTAAAAATAGTTTTCATTTAAAAAAATTAAAACTATATTTTATATCAAATATGCCCAAATTAGTTGGAGTTAGGGCAATTATGCACTATAATATGGGTGAGCATAAAAAAATATTATTACATAATCTATGATTAATTGTATTCACTAAAATCATTGTTGATGATTTATTAATATGTTTTAAATCTAAATGAATTTATTTTAATCAATTCAATCATATAATAATTTATTCTAAGCATCACAATTGTAAGACTATTTTATCAATAAATTTCACTAGGATAAATTTTTTAGACATTTTAAGTTAAATCAATCAATTGAAATGACATCATTTACTCACTTGACACGTAATCTCATATTTGTTCCGGATCTCTACATATTGTGAGATGATTGATTATAACTAAAATAAATAATGTATAATTTAAAAGATTTTTACATTGTTATTGTATTATTCATCATTCATATTTAATTATTTTTCACTATTAAATAATATATAATATACTAATGATATTATATTCTTCTAACACATGAAGCATGAAAATTAGTCAATAAAATGCATGAAACACTACTCACTCTATGATGGCAACGTATTTAAAGGTTAGAGCTAAATAGTGTTATCCTCACACCCTATGCAAGGTTTACTAGATTTAGTTCATATATATATATATATTTATTTATACACGACAATTAATAGATATTTTGTTGTTGAATTCTCAGCCAATATAGGACCTAACTATGGGAAAACACGTTAAAAGAAACTGTGCAAAAAGGGTTTGCTGAGATATCATCAGCAATGTAAAGAATCGAGTATAACTCCATCTTTTTTTGCAACAATTTTTATTTTTGTCCTTGTTCTCTATTTTTATTAAACTATTTAAGGTCAATAATATATTAATGCAGTTGGGCATATATGTTGTTCTTTTCTTCTCTACACGATCTAAAATAAGACAAACATATATTTATAATTTATGCAGCTAAACATCCAAGATGTATGAGCAAGTAAACATCGATAATTACTAATATCTCTCAAACTTTATCATATAAATCAATTTAACCTGTATTTAAAAATATTGAGGTTTGTTTGGTATATTTTCATTTTGGAGGGACAAATTAATATACTGAAAATTTGTAGGAACTTACGTTTTCACGTACATGTCGATTTTGGAAGACTTGATTGTATGCTGAAAAATAAAAGAGGTTTTTTCATTATCTGTGCAAAATATAATTGTTATTCACCCTCTCCGTTTAATACTTTAAAAAAAGTCCCACATCACTCGTTACTATGATAATATTAGGGTTTATATAGCATCAGCACACAGAGAGACTTGTCCCTTCGGGGACATCCGATAAAATTGGAACGATACAGAGAAGATTAGCATGGCCCCTGCGCAAGGATGACACGCACAAATCGAGAAATGGTCCAAATTTTTTTTCCGTCTTCTCTTCCGTTCACAAATTGTTACCTTTTATTCGTTCATGGTGTTTGATTTATTGTCAAAAGTGCGGGTTTTGGTGAATCATTAATTGGTCCGGTGAAAGGTGTTGATAGTTATTTCTGGGTTGTTTACTTCTTGAATCTTTTACCGTGTACCGTGTTAGATGTAGTTTTCTGAGTTTCATAACCTCAAATGAATTTACAAGTGGAACTGCTTTTGGTCATTGAGCTTGTGGTTAAGAAAAGTACCTATCTTTGATTCGGTTGTCTCCAACTACCAAGGAGTTCTGTTACATGAAAAGTTAAAAGTCGTCATCTTATCTTGACCTAAAACCTTAAAGACAATAATTTTATGGTCCTTTCCACTTCTAGTAGTATAGTAATGGTAATTTGGCTTCCACCAAAGTCCAAGGGTAACATCTACACTGTATCTGGTTGGGCTGCTTTTTGTGAGATTTGGTATGTAAATGTGTGTGTTTTGTGGTGATTTTGCAGATGCATTAGTTCAGTTTGCCATAGTTAATGTTGTATTCTGATTTGAGTACTCTGTTTGGCTTAGTTCTGTTTTGTAGTCAATCTTGCTTTCTCCACAAATTATCCTCTTGTTGGTTAGTTATGGTAAATGTTTATTTGTCCCTCAATGCATGTCATTCAGTTATTTACACCCAAGTGGATGAAAATAAACTATTAAATATGTAGTACAACAACATGGCATAGATAATAGGAAACTCAGTAGCTAAACCATTCACATGCTTACCTCTCACTTATCACTATAATACTGAAGAAGAATTAAATGTTATATTGAGGTTAAAAAAAGTCACATATACAGAGAGATAGGGTATAAATGATATATTGAGAGAGATGTTCATTTTTCTATGGGTTATAAGTTCTAACATGGTTATGTGTTGTTACTGGTTGCAGAGTAGGATTATGAATGGAAAAAGCTTAATTGATAAGAATTACAAAACTTTCAGTTGATCTGACTGTGATACAGCTAACACAGTTGGAGAATAAACTGAGACCGAGCTCAAAGAAAAGAAACTGAGAGTTGAAGATGCTCTTGATGCTACAAAGGTGCTATTATCTTTATCCAAAATGCACATTGATTTATTTTGGATTTTGTTAGTGTAAGTTCATATATTTTATTGGCAAATACTTAAGCAGCCATTGAGGAAGGTATTGTAGTTGGTGGTGGTTGCGTGCACCCTGCTGAGTGCTGAGACTGACATCAAATACTTCAGGCAGTTTGACACTGATGTTTAAGAATTTGACTCATATAATGATTCACACAACCCAGGTTATAGTGACTATTGGCTTATCATATAGGCTGTGCAAGAAAAAGAGAAGAAAAAGAGAAGAAAAAGAGAAACTCTCTACTCTCATCTTCTTTCTTCCTAAAATCATTCCATCAAAATAGCATTTGTCTTCCCAATATATTCCCTTTTCACTACCTCATCCCCAAATTCATTCCACTTTCTCCACATCTGAAAGCAAATTGTCATTGTAAAATTGCAGTCCATAATGTCATATTCTTCAAGAACCTCACATTAAGAACCTTTAGTACTTTCACTCTCTTTTCATATTCTTCAAGAAAACATTCTTCAATGTGGTTGCACAAGAGTTGTGTTTCTTAAATTTTTGGCACATTAAAACATATCTATTTTGGTTTGAACAGTAGATTTTAGATCATGATTTACCAAAAGGTTTAGGATAAAAACCATCTTAAAGCCCTAGTTAGATGGAATGAAACAAATCAATTCATGTAAATGATTAAGGGAGAGAGAAGATTGTGCTGAATATTTATCTTGTTCACTCAACCATCATTGACAAACACACATAAATCTCATCCATTATTATAAATGAATTAATAAGAGTACATCATTGATTGATTGATTTGAAATAGTGTTGATAAGAAATATAAATTTAAGAATTGATATAAGAAAATAAGGACAAAATTGAGCATCATGAAACTAAAAAACTTGGGGGTTTTGTGGTGTTTTAAACGACACCGTTTTTTTATCGAGAAAGAAAAAGCATTAAACGAACAGTACCTACAGTTTCGTAGATCATCTCCAACTACAACTGAAAACTTCAAAACGACGCGTCAAATCGTCTCCGATGGCCGAAAACTGCTTACCGGTGGTCCTGCTCACCGGAAGTGGCCGTCCGGTACTTCTTCCAAACGAGATCGAATGTTTCTTCCTCTCCTCTGTTGACCTTCTCTGCGAAGACAACGAACCCAACGCTACCTCATTCCCTCACCTCAAATCGGGTCTCCTCATCCTCACCACTCACCGCCTCATATGGCTCTCCGATTCTCCCTCCTCTTCCGCATTCACTGTCCCCCTCGCCACGATCTCCCACATCTTCTCCCACAAGAAGTCCCTCAAGTCCATGTTCGCTTCCCCTAGGGTCCGCTTCCAGGTGTCTCTGTCGCCGGAAGGTAGGGTTTCGGCATCAGGTTCGAGTTCCGTTGTGGCGACGGTCGTGATGAGAGGGAAAGGGGACTGCGACGCGTTTTTAGCCAAATTTTGGGAAAATTGGAGGGGCAGGGCGTGGGAAGAAGCAGAAAGTGTTTCGAATTCGGGTTCGAGTTCGGGTTCAAATGTGGCGCCAGCAGCGTCTTCGGGAGGGTTTTATTCGAGTGACGGGACGGTGAGGATGGTGGGAGTGTCAGGGATATTGAGGAAGCAGCAGGAGATGTGGGAGAGTACTGATAGGAGCTTGCATGACGCTTTTCAGGATTTGAATGCTCTCATGGTAATTTGTTTATGTTTCCTCTCATTAGGTGAAAATGTGGTATGATAACACACAAAATGACTTTCTCATCGACCAAAACAAATTCAATTTAGGGTTATATTGAATTAAGTTAGGTGTAAGGAGGACTAAATGGATTAATTTAATTCTGTTTCCCAAAGTTTACTTGGTTATGTAGTTGAGGAAGCTATAATTATGGTTTAATAGCACAGATTGTTGGATGCATAATTTTCTAAAACTTTATGTTTATCTTGGATTGCTTAGGCGATAATGATATGGCTTAATAGCATAGAAGATTATAGACATATTTTTTATATGATTTGCTTATAGGATAAAATGTGTGCAGATGAGGGTTATATTGATCTGAAGTTAGGTGTAATGTAAGGAGGGCAAATTAGATTAATTGAATTCTGTTTCTGTAGGTAGCATTTGGAGCCGTGGGAAAAAGGGACTTCCCTATTGTGTTGTCTTTGATTCAAGGCACTTTTTTCACTCATGTCTTGTTTTGTTCTATTTACAAAATAACTTAAACATTAAATAGAACCCATATTTCTGTTATGTCCTGTTCTAGCTTGTCTACCCAATGCTACCATAAAGTGTAATTGGTTATGTACTTGAAGGAACTCTGATCATGTCTTAACAGGATTTCACTCAGATTGCAGGAATGCATGCATCTCTTTTTAAATCTGAATGTTTATAATGAATTTCTTGGGCTGAGTTACAACGAAACCCCTACCTAGTGAGAAGGGTCCTTTATTATTGTTGCTGATGATAATGAGTTACAAGGACATCTTGGAATGTTTGTAGATAAAAAAAACTGTTTGAAGTTTAGGCATTGCAAATTTTTGTATATGGAGTAGAGTAATAATTGTGGAAAATGTGTTTCTTTGTTTTTGGGGGCTTAGTTATGCTAAAAGGAAATACCACTTAGTTTGATTTATGAGGAACAGTAAGGCGAGTGGTATCTGTTTCTATACATATCATATTTTATATGGTAATTATATTTATGAACTTGTGAGCTGAGTTATACCTTTATGTTGTGCATACAGACCTTAACAAGTTCTTTCTGCTACTTGATTGATGCAATTATAGAAGCATTTTTGTGCTAACTTTGTTCTTTGACGAGCTATGTTTTTTGGGTCTGTATTAAGTTGCATCATGTTTGGATTTGTGTTGGATTTGCAGAGCAAGGCTAAAGAGATGGTAATGCTAGCAGAGAAAATGAGGATACAACTTTTGTCTGGCTCAAGTTCTCAAGCTAATACAACTGGTGATGAGCAGATGGGCTCAAAGGAAGAGATGCAAGAATTGTTATTGAGTGTTGGTATTATATCCCCTGTTACCAAAGAGTCCGCAGGTGCTTTGTATCATCAACAGCTATCTCGTCAGGTTCTCTTATCGCACCTCCTCAATCACATGTTATTTTTAAACTCATCAAAATATCATGGAAGTTGTAAAAGCTTTTGAAAAGGATTATATTTTCCCCTTAACAGTTAAAAGGTTGATTTGATCTAATCAGTGAACAGTTTAGTTTCTTTAATTATTGAATAATTTTATTCCTGCTATTTTAATGGAGATTCTCAGGACTTGTGTTCAGTGAGCTAAATGGGAACACTTAAGTTTGGCTAGCATGACAAGAATGATGAAATATTCATAAAAATGACTATAGTGTCGAACCATATGTTGTTGAACATGTTGAGATGAATTTGTCTTTGGTGATGACAATGAAAGACTGACAGTAGAGTAGTATCAAGGCTGGTGTTGAAGAAAAAGTAAAAATTCTAGAAACCAAACCAAAAAGGATTAATTTGAGCAAAGGAAACAGAAGATTAGAGTAGCGTGGAATGATTAGAATATAGAAGGTCTTCTTCATGTATATAAAACAATGGTTGAAATGTAGTTGTGTGTAAAAGATGGTAACATTGGTAAGAGATGGTATTTATTTCTTTGTATTTCACAATTATGGTATTTTGACTTAATTGTTGTGCTTGTGCAAGACTTAAAGCCTGGGGAAAACTCTCCACCATTCTCTGAAGATTTTGAGTTGCTTTTTGTTAACTAACTCCTCTTCAGGCTGTGTATGCATATATTATTTTGACCTGTTTTACTTGTCTAGAAGCAGCTTGAGTAATGATGGTAGTTGTTAATGCTATGGATTTAATTAACAATCTTGATGGCCTTTTGTTAGTTTCATATTTGTTTAAAATGTTCTAACATGTCTGTGCTAATACTTAGTTGGCAGATTTTGTCAAAGTTCCACTTGAAAGAGCTGGAGGAATCATCAATCTTATTGATATTTATTGTCTATTCAACCGTGCTCGTGGCACAGGTTTCACTTTCTCTGTGTTCTGTGTTCCCTCTGACACATGGTTACCTGTCAAGTTGTACATTCTGATTAATAGCTCTCTTGTTTTGGTTGTCTAATAACAGAATTGATCTCACCTGATGATCTGTTGCAAGCATGTTCTCTGTGGGAGAAGTTTGATGTGTACGTATTTTATTATTTTCTTTTTTATTACTTCTGTTAGTGCATGTTGGTAAATTGTGGTGTAGTATAGACGTTGGGCGTAAGTAACTTCAAGTCATACTCTTTGGGAATCTTCCTTGTTTAACACTTCAATGCGATTCCCTTTTTCGTTTGTTGTATTTCCATATGTTGATTGTGTTATTCAATTGTTTCAGCCCAGTAGTTCTACGTAAGTTCGATAGTGGAGTCATGGTAATACAGGCGAAGTCTCACAGTGATGAACAGGTGAGTTCATTTGGTCTGTTCGTTTATGGTCCTAACTTGTAACAGTTTCAGTTTGTGTTGTACTTATCACATTTTTGTCATTTTTACTACAACATCTATGTTTGATGAGATGGAAGATGGTCAAATTAGACCTAGGCTCCTAAGTGCTGTTTGTTTGGCGTAGGTTATCTCTAAAATCAAGATACTTGCTATGAAGCCTGATGCTCTTCGATCTGGGATTAGTGCTAGTGATGCTGCAAAGACACTGGGAGTTGCCCCAGCAATGGCAAAGGAGCATCTAATGTCTGCTGAGAGCAAGGGTACGCTGCTGTACTACTTTCTCCATTACTTTTACCAACAAAACTGTGTTCTGACTTCTGAGTTTGGTCGGATCTTTTTCAGGTGTACTATGCAGAGATATAAGCCCTGATGGATTTCGCTTTTATATTAACTTGTTCCTTGAATTTGATCGAGATGATATGTATTTGTAAGTTCTTTTTCCGGTGTACTATGCAAAGATATAAGCCCCAGTTCTTACATTGCATTGGTTTTAATTTGATGTTTCGACGATAGATTATTTTGTTCA